TTCACTGACTCAGCTTTCCTCCTGCAGTCGGCATCATTGCGTCTGCTTTGTGAGATGGAGGAGGACTTTCTGGATTGGTGTTGGACATATGGGTTAATGGGTTAATGTTGGACTTGTGGGCTTGGGCAGCACTGGGTTGGGATGTTTTCTTGATGCATACTTAACCTTTATATAAAGCTTTCTCTTATACATGAGTTTCTGTGAATTTGTTTTTTTAAAGTATCAAGACTAATACGGTTACCTAGTGCTACTACTATTTCAGAAATACCAAAAGAGGGTGACTTTGAAGGACAGACATTTATTTTCTCAACAGTTCTGGATGCTGGAAGTTCCCATCAGAATTTCTGCTACATTCTTTGTCGGTAGGTCTTCCTTGGTCCTTGGTGATTCTCACATGGCATCTGTCGTTCCTGTTAAGGTTTAGGATCCACCTAACACTGGCAGCAGAGCCCAGGGGCTAATGAGTTATGCATTGGGCTGCAAACTGCAAGGGCAGTAGTTGAAAACCACCAGCCACTGTGGAAGGAAGATACAACTTGGTACTCCCATAACTATGTATTGTCTCAGAGATACACAGGGGCAGTTCTGTGCTGTCCTACAGGGTCCTAGGAATTGGCATCAACTTCAATGGCAGTGACTTTGATGTCAAGAACAGGGACATGACCTCAGCTGATGGAGACCAATAGCTTGCCCGATGGGAGGTGGTTAATGGCATTAGATTAGCAAAGACCCACATGTGCAGGGTTTAACAGATAGGATGGGGCTACAAAGGTGTCCTGGAGAAATGGAATTCTTTTTTTAATGTTTAAGATTTCCAAAGCTCCCTTGTATTGGGGGGAGTGCAGTTCAGTCCCCTGCAGTGGCCTTCTTACCGTGTTGCTGGTCAGCTCACCTGGAAAGGAGATCTGCTGGAGTTGGGGGGTGGGGGTGGGGGTGCTCCTGGTCAAGGGTGTGCTCAGGGCGCCTTTTTGGTTGGTTTTTAGCTTTGGGCTGCTTGGTGGGTATCTGTAACATGAACTTGAACCTAAAACCCAGTGAATGAAGTGGGCCTGGTACTGGGAATTTTCAGAGGAGAATTTTTCCTAACCTGAGGTCATAGGCAAGATGGAAATGCCTCTCCGTTCCCTTAGGATGGATGGGTGGGCATTTCGTTCCTGACCTGCTATTTTACTGCCACCCTTGTGTGGTCTGTTCAGTTATGGATCCTGCCTCCTGTTCCCACACGGGCCCCAGCACCCCCACCCCTGGCTCCCTGGGACTGGCGCTGCCTCCTTGTCCCACCACACCCTCCTCTTTGGGCCGCTGCTGTGTCAGCCCAACTGTTCTCTGCTCTCTTTATTTTTGGACTCTGGTGATTTCCTATACTCGCCTGCAATAGCTCTGCTGTGCAGGAAAAGGAAGTCCGTTTTCAGCTGATCTAGGTGTTTTGTCGTAGGATGTTTTTTCAGGGCAGCTTGTCCACAACAAGAGGAGCCATGGTGCAAAGGTTAGACCACCTGGCTGCTAACAGGGAGGTCTTGGTGCCAGCCTCCCAGCGCTCTGTGGGAGAAAGCTGCAGCAGCCTTGCGAACCCCACCATGCTCCTGCGTGCTGCAGGGCTGCGGTGAGTCAGCCTCAGCTCCACAGCAATGGGCTCTGGTTGTGCGTTTTTCCCCCACACTGCCCATTATATCTCTTCATGTTTAGAGACAAAGGACTGTGGGAGTTGCTGAGAAGAAAAGGGCATCTGTCTGGGAGGCTCAGGAGAAGCCGAGTGGCGAAGAATAGGGGCATACATACATGGGGGGTAGGGGACTGCAGGTGCCAAAGCAGGAGGCAGGAAACAGAGGACACAGGTTTAGAAAGAAGCCCTTGGTCTCTCTCGCTGGGGTGCAGGGTCTGCAGGGGGCAATGCGGTGGGAGCAGGGAGCTCTTCAGTGTCTCACAGCAGGGAATGATTCTCCGCCTTGTTTCAAGAAGGTTGAGTAGGAGGAAAGTCCAGGACAAATGGGAGCAGGGGAAGGGCAGGAGGGAGAGGAGTCTGGATTTGCACAGATGACCCACGTGCCCATTGAAATAGCCAGGCCATGGCTCATTCTGCCTGAATGGGGGCAGTGGCCATGGCGGGGAGAGGAGGGAGCCCCTGGGAGAGAGACTCAGCAGAACCCGTAAAGAAATCTGGGCCAGGAGCTGGGGGTGGGAGCGGGAAGGCCAGGTAAGCACATTGTCTGAATCCTGGGGGCTGACGTGAAAACGTCAGGAATGATCCGAGCCTTTTGCTGTCTTGTAATGTCATCCAGCTATGCTGCCTGCCAATGCTAGAAGAGCGTCGTCTGGACTCTGTTCGCAGCGGAGAGTGTTTAGGGTGTTTGGTGAAGCGTTGTGTTTGGCTGAGACACCACACGTGCCCACAGAGCTCCCCCAACTGAGGCGTGCTGTTTCTGGCTCTCCTAGGGCATGGCTGATGGAGGGGCCGATGAGCCGCCCCCCAGGACAGCGAGTGCGGCCGGGGAAGGTCAGGCCTCCGAGGACCGATTGTTGCTCCATCAGAGGCTGGCCATCCGGGAGCTCGTGGACACCGAGTCCTCCTACTTACACATGCTCCGGCTCTGCGCCAGTGACATCAGGAGCCGCCTGCAGCAGGTACCTGGGCGGGGCCCCACACAGCGGTAAAGACCCTGGGGTCTGACCACGGGAGTCCTGGTTTCTGAGAGTTCACCGAGGTTCCTTCGGGGCAGGCTTGGTGGAGGGAAGGCCTGGCAGGCATGAGGTCTCTTACTTCACTCCCAAGATATTAGGGTTGCTCTCTGTCTTCAAAGTCAATGCCATCGAGTCAATGCTGACTCATAACAACCCCACAGCATGATGGGCTTCTGAAACTGTAGCTGTTTACTGGAGTAGAAAGCCCAGTCTTTCTTTCAAGGCGCTGCTGGTGGTTTTGAACTGTCGACCATGTGGGTCACAGCCCAGTGAGTAACCACTATGCCACAAGGGCTCCTGACATTAAAAAACACAAATAGATACTGTTTATTTGGGCAAAAATGAGAGCCTGCTTTAGTGTTCTATAGCTGGCTTTTTCCACTTGACAGTGTACCTAAAAGACATTCCTCCAAGCCCTTGCGTGGAGAAGTCCAAGGGTTGGCACCTAGAATGCATCTCAGTGTAATGATATTTGTTAGGTGCCAAGTATTCAGAGCTGAAAAAAATTCCAACTTCCCGTCCCGTCCAACATATGAGAACCAAGAGAAAGAAAATGCTCGCTGGCAGCAGACCTAGGATTAAAGCCTGGTCCGGCCAAGTAGCCCATCTTTCTCTCTCCCCTGGTGCAGTGAGGGCAGTGTCTGGTCAGTGACCTTTAACGGGTTTTTGTAAGCATTGCACGGGGCAGCGAGTCATCCCACTGTAATAAGAGCCTGACGGCAAGTGGGTTGCAGTTCAAGTTCACGGGACTCCCAACCTCCCCCTGGGGCTGCGTTGTTCCTCCAGCTGCCTGCAGGAGATCTGGATGTCCTGTTCTCCAACATGGGGGATATCGTCCAGGTGAGCAGCCGATTTCTTCGTGGCCTGCAGGAGGCGGCGGCGGCCTCCACCGAAGAGGAACAAGTGCACCTCATTGGTAAGCAAAACACCTAAAGAATGAAAAAAGTAAGACCTAATGACTAGTCAGCCTTCGCGGCAGTCCCACGTGTATCCTCAGCATGAAGGAAGCCTCCTGACACTGTCTGGTATGCGCTGGACTGCTACCTGCAGAGTTAGAGGTTCAAATCCACCAGCTGCCACTCAGGAAAAAGACAAGGCTGCCTGCTCCCATCAAAAAGATTCACAACTTCAGAAGTCCTACAGAGGATGGCTCTGGCTCTGAATCGGCTTGATGGCCAGGGGTTTGGCTTGTCCTCAACATGTGTCACTGCTGAACTGTCTCCAGAATTCCGGGGTAATGCAGCTCAGTGGGAGCCCATTAATTGTTATTTGGAATCCTGGAAACACAGCCTGTCAGAGCTCTCAAGTGATAACTCATCCATTCCTCTCCCCTTGTAGATGAAGGGACGAGGCCAGAGACAGACAGGGACATCTTCGTTGTCATTCAGCTGGTCAGTGGCACAGCTGAGTCTTTCAGGGCCTGCCAGTGGCAGGTTAGTAAGAGAGGCAGAAACATAAACAGATAGAGGAGAAACTTGTAATTTGGAGAATACAGAACAGTTGTAACTTCCTGGGGAGGAGGCACTTGAGTGGGAGACCTGACTGGGGACCGGAAGGAGCCAGCGATGAGCCAGCCTGGAGGCAGAGCCAAGGGAAGGGCCGTGCAGAGGCCCCGAGGCAGCGATGGATCTGAAGTCTAGAAGGGAGTGCCAGGCTCTAAGACAGAGAGGCAGGCAGGGGCCAGGTCACGGTTTGGAGTTTGGATTTTATCCTACGTATAAGAAGCCCTTGGATCATTTTGAGCAAGGGAGCGGCATGATCTGACCTGAGTTTTAGCCGCTCTCTTTGGCTGTAATGGGGAGGGCTTGTGAGGGGATGGAGAGAATGGAAGCAGAGAGACCCGTAGCGAATGCTACAATTGCCCAGGTGAGGCTACAGGTAGTCTGCTCATTCTAGAATGGTTGGCTGGGTGAGATAAGAAAGCAGTCTCACCTTCGGAGACTTGCCTGGGCATGCCTTTGGTGGAAATGGGGGTACTAAAGCTCTATGCGGGAGCCCTGGTGGCCTAGGGGTGAGGTGTGGAACTTAGCAGTTCAAAACCATCAGCATTGAAAGACAGGCCTTTCCACCCCTGCAAAGAGTCACCGTCTCGCTCGATGTGATTGAACTATGGGGAGATGTGATAACTGTAGTAACCAATAAAACGGTTTTGAAAAAAAATTTTTAAATAAAGATAAAAAGAGAGAGGGGTTGGGACTTTGGAGTTCTAAAGCTAAAAAAATCCCAAAGAGTTACAGTCTCAGAAACTGTAATGAGAAAGGGGTTGGTAGGTCTCTCAGGGGAGATACACCCTGGTCCTTGGCTCCGCTCCAGAAAGAATTCACGCCAAAGCCTGGTTTGTGATCCAAGTGGGTTTTATGAGGGTTAGAAGAAGTTTCGGGTTTACGCAGGCACCTCACCCCGTGCACTCTGCCTGGGAGCTGCTCGGAAAGCTGCCATTGGCTCCAGGCGCCTGCATTTTTCAATTGTCCCATGGGAGGTGTGGTGCACGACCCTGGTCGACCCCATTGGCTGAATTGAATTTACCTGGCCTAGGTGGGCCAATCCAGGTGCAGCGCCCACCCAGGTGTACCTCCCCTTCCTGGCTGGAAACCTGAACCTCTGAGCATGCGCAGTGTACCACTCCTTCATGGGCTGGTAGCTCCAACCTCTGAGCATGCGTAATGGATGCCCCAGTCCCTAAGCTAAACTACCTAACATTGTCTCTATAAAAATACTCTAAGTGGGGAGGTCTATTCCCTCTCTTACAAGAGGGAATAGACTTCTTACAAGAAGTCATAGGTGTAAATCTCACCTGTTGGGAGCCACTTGGAAAACTGTCCGGGAGCAGGGGTTTTCCAGTGGAGTCAGGAGACAGAGGGATAAGGGAGGGGCAGGCTCTTGCCTGCAGCAGTGATGACTGGGGTTCTCATGGTAGAGTCTAGTGATGTTTAACGATATCGTTTATCTAGCTCATTACCGTGGCAGAGAGGTGGAGAGGGTCCATGGCCAGTCAGGTTCCTCTGGTCTGTACATAACTGGGATTCAAAGCACCGGCAATGGGCAAACAGACCACAACCTCCCTCTGCCCTTCCGGGTTGTTCACTAACGGCCACACACTGCTCTGATGTCCTTATACTTGTCCAATCTTGATACAACCCTGAAAGGTAGCTACTGTTTGCTCACTTTATGGTGGAGGAAGAGGTGGCCGCTAGAGCTGGGACTTGCTAGCCAGTCAGCGCTCTGCAGTGCCACAGCGGCCAAGGAAAACACAGCAGACCCAATGAAATGTGAACCTCTTTCGTATGTCCCATGCAACCTTTGGGACATGCTTATACTAGCAAGTGATTGCTAGTATATTATCTGAAAGTCAAGTTTAATTGGGTGTCCCACATTGTGCCCTTGAACCTGCAGCTCTATTCTTCCCTGGCCTTTATGGAGTCTAGAGAAAATCGCCTCCTCATCTTGTGCCCCCTGTGGTTATGTGGTTAGCCAAAAAGGAGGCACAAGAGCTCACCTAGCTTTGCTTCTTGGTCCCTGTGTGCTGCTCAGGGTGGCTCTGGCTCCTATCAGCTCTCCCTATTCCCCTTACACCCCCCATCCCCACCCCAGAGCCCCGGGCCCTGCTTGCAAAGGAAGATGCTTTTCCTAAGCTAGTGGGCCACACATTTTAAGATTATTTTGGACCTACCTTGGACCTTAGGCAAGACTGCCTTTCCCACGCCAACTCAGATATTATTTTGTATTTAAATAACACTTTCCTCCAGAACCTTAGATGCTTTACAGACCTGATAACAACCCTGTGAGGTAAATAGTGAGGTAGGTATTGCTCCAATGGGATAAGACAGGGAGAGGCAGCACAGAGAGGTTTAGTGACTAGCCCAAGGCCCACACAGATAAGTCACCGGAGAGGTGGGGCTGGAGTGCCTTCGCCTCCCAGCTCCGATTCAAAACCTGAGGCGGCGCAGGCAAGACTCCCTTACCAACTGCTCTCACCAGCAGGCTGGCTTTCCTTTTCGTAGCAATGATTGCAAACACACATTGCTTTTTCTTTTCTTTTTGACTGCTGCTTCCATGAGTACTGATGGTGGATCCAAGTAAATGAAATCTCGGGCAACCTCAGTCTTGTCGCTTCTACTCATGTCGTGGCTTGTGGGCCCAATTGGGAAACTTTTTATTTGGTTCACACTGAGCTGTGATCTGGACTGTAGGATCAGTAAGTGCTTCAAGTCCTCTTGACTCTCCACAAGCTAGGTTAGGTCATCCACAGATCTCAGGCCCTCAGCGAGTCTTCTGCTTCCCCAGTGCTGCGTTCTTCTTTATAGAGCCCAGCTTCATGGAGTCTACACTCGGCATCCTGATGGAATAAGTGGTGAACAGATGGGGCCTAGAAGGTTGGAAATCAACCTTTGTTCTGGTGTCCTGGGCCTTCCTATCTCTTTGGGCAGTTCTGAGAGCTGGGAGTTTGCTTTCCTCGGCCCTTACGTTCCTACAAACACCTCTTCCCATGGCCCGCGGGCTGTGATAGTTTCTCCGGCATCACGCATACTCCCCAGGATGCACTCATATTGAAGAGATGGTGGGGACCACTCTTGATTTCACGCCCGTGCCGGCCCATCTCCTGAGCAGTGTCTTCTCTGCAGTTGGCCGATCTCCTCCCATCATGCAGGTTCTCCGTGGCCACACTTTTGGGGCGTTCTTTCCTGGGATGCTGTCTCCAATTCTGAGGGCTCCTCCCTCTGGGGTCCTCTCTGAGGACTGGCTGGACAACGCTGGCGGAAACATTGGGGCGGGAGCCCGGGGCGGTGACTTTGCTGTGCCGGGTCTTTGTCAAGAAAGGGGACCTGTGGACGTGCCCCAAGGAAATCAGGGACACTGCTCATCCTTGGCAACCCCGTGTTGCTTTTTCACTACCAGGCAACTTATTCCTGGAATTCCAAGAGGAGTTGGAGCGAGTCTATAAGGTCTACTGTGCCAACTACAACCAGGCCTTGCTGCTGGTGGAGGCATACCGGAAGGAGCCAGAGCTGCAGCGGGAGATCCAAGGCACCATCGAGGCAGTGGTGTGAGTAGAGTGACCCACCTGTGCCCTCCCGTTGGCTTAGGAGCCAGCGGGTCAGCATCCGTCCCGGTGTCAGTCAGGTTGTGCTACGGAGAGAGACACCTGCAGACTCACCAGCTTGAGAACAGAGGTTTCCCTCCTCCGTCGGCTCCGTACTCACTGTGGGTTGACCTGGGGCTCCCCTCTCCATCACCCTCACTCCGGACCCGGGCTGACAGCAGCCCGTGTGGACGGGAACGAGCTCTGGGAGGCGTCTACTCGCAGAGTCTCGTTGCCGTTCCGGTCACCACTCATCGTTCTGTCTTTGGAATCATTCTATTGGGCGCTCATGCAGCTCTTATCACAATGCAGACACATATGCATCCATCGTGTCAAGCACATTTGTACATCGGTTGCCGTCTCATTCTCAAAGCATTTTCTTTCTACTTGAGCCCATGGTATCAGCTCCTCATTTCCCCCCTCCCTCCCTCATGAACCCTTGATCATTTATAAATTATTACATCAGACAGTGCAAGACATGAAAAAATAATAATAATTTATAAGTGATCAAGGGTTCACTTACTGTTTTTTAAAAAGAAAGAAACACATGAAACAACGACAAAAACCCACTGCCATCGATGCCGACTCATCTCACTGCTGTGGAGTGGGTGCCGACTCATAGTGACCCTGTAGGACAGGGCAGAACTGCCCTCGGTGGGCTTCTGAGACTAACTCTTTCTGGGAATAGAATGCCCCGTCTTTCTCCTTTGGAGCGGTTAGTTGTTTTGAACCGTGAATCTTGACGTTAGCAGCCCAACCCATAACCACTATACCACCAGGAGGCGACCATTCCAACTCCCAGCAACCTTATGTAGGGTCTCTGAAGCTGTGAATCCAAACAAGAACAGACCGCCGCCTCTTCCTCCCAGCGGTGGCTAGTGTTTGGACCAGTGTCCTTGTGGTTAGCCATCCCATGCTTGCCACTCAGTGGTGCCCATGGCTTCTTAGATAAGGCCAGTCACCTGGTGTTACCCAGCTGCCAGGAGGCCAGGGCGTGCCCTCCTCCTGTGCGTTTCGAAGGTGGGATAGCAGAAACACCTGGTGAGGAACACTCACGATTACCCTGGGGAGGGGCAGCGAGGGGGTGGGGCCCCTGGCGGGAAGTAGGTGTCTCCCCTGGGCATCCTGCCACCTGGAAAGGGTCAGCTGGCGCCAGAGGCTGGGAGCGCCAGGAAGGCGGGGTAGGGAATTGATTGTCTGGGGTTTGTTTTTCTAGTTAAACGTTTGGAATGAGTAAAGGGTTCAAAAAACTTAACAATGTAAAATTGCATACTGTGCAAGAATCTTCCCAGCTC